ATTTTTAAACATAGAGCATCTAGTAGCCTGCCATTAGCTTCAGTTGATGGATGTTATGTGGGGCCTATAATGACACGTGGCACTTTACGGACACTTCACGTTAATATGGTAAAGGTGCAAATTTAGCCATGAATTATTCTCTGAAAAGTACTGTGTAGTTTCTACTATAAAAACCAGGCCATCCAACACCTCCTCAATTTTGATAAAGCACCATTTATTTTCATACTTATAAGGCCTGCAAAGCATCAATCTCTCTAATTTTCTTGCTTTCATTCTCAATACCAGCTGGAGAAGAAGAGGTTCAACAAGTTCTTATCTGAAGATATTTATAAGGACAAAGCCAATAAAGTAGAAGCTTGATTTTACTACACATGGGAATAGCTTTATTCTAGCTTAATTTAGCCGCGAATTATTTCTTCTACTTTATTAACATAGTTTTCATAAATGTCTTCAGATAATAATTCTTTGAACTTCTTCTTGAGCTAAGATTGAGAACAAAGGTAAGAAGATTAGAGAGATTGACACGTTGTGGGACTTATAAGTTTAGAAATAAATGGTGTTTGATCAAAATTGATGGGATGGTGTTGATGTTGGATAGGGAGGCATAGTAGAAGATTAAAATTTTAAAGTCTCTATTCTGATATAGACTGAACAAACTCGTTTAAGTCATGGTGGATAGAAGAGTTACCTTTTAATTCTATGAAGTTGGCGCACGTTCTCTTCAAGAGTTTAGATCTTAGGAGCTGACAACGTAGATCTGCTCCTTCTATTGATATCCACACGAACAGCTTTCTAACTTGAACAACATGCTAGCGTTCTCAGCGTTCGTTCTTTTTTGAATGTTAATTTTCCTTTCTATAGGGTGTTTCATGGCTCTCAGAGTGTTTTTGCTATCAGAACTTTTCTAACTCTCTTCTCTTTCATGAAGGATGTCCCTACCTATATATAGTACATGGATCAGGGTTTTCGTCTTTCACTTAAAAGCCCACGAAAATTTAATTAAATTTATGTCATAAATTTAATCCATGATATTGTATTTAATTCAAATTTATCTTATAAATTTAAATTATAAAACTAACATGATATTTTCTCATATCATGTTAGTTATTAAATTTAATCTATCATATAAAATTAAATTTAAAACTTACAAATATAATATAATATAATATATATCATATATACATATTATATTATACACACACACACACACGAATATATATATATACATATATATTTCAAAATATATATATATATATATTATATTATATATATATATATTTAATTTTATATATCATATACACATATCATATATATATATATATGTTATACATATATACACATATGAATATATATATATTAAATATATATATATATATAAATATAAAATTATATTTTGAATTTTATATTTCATATAAAATTATATATATAAATATTTATCAAATATATATATATATATATATAATTCACTTACCCTATATTATATTTATTGAATCTAGACATACTCCAGATATAATGAACTTGGACATTATAATTGGAGCTAGGCTGTTCTTTTGTGCGACCTTGTAGGCTTATATGAAATTGACAGTAGGCTAATTACGCTATTAGCCTACAAGTCACAAGTGGCCTTTAGCAAGACATTGCAATTACCCAATTCATATGGGGATCAATGATCTGATGTAATTTATCATGCAATCATATCACATTCCTTTTGTCACGTAATATTTCGGTCAAGTATGAGACATGGAATTATCATTTCCCTTTACCTGACCGTTACTTTCTCGATCTCTGAGTGGACTGATAGTAGTAATAAAAAAATCCTTTCCATTGTAGAATGGCCATACATTTTCTCAGTTTTACTTATCGAGGGGCCCAATAATATCTCTCACCTAATGTGAGGGATAAGTTCTATCTTGACCACTCATAATGCTTTGCATGAATATCACTAAACTCAATCATAGCCTTTATAATCACCCGGTTAAAGGTAACTGTTGACTAGGTCAAAGTTCAGTGGTCATCATGTAAGGATCCATGATGATCTCAAGTCAAAGGGCTTAGTGATATAGTATATGATATAAACTTATGACTTGTACTATGCAGCTTTCTCATGGTGGGTTAGTCCAACACCTTATACTCTTTCAAATGCCTATGACTTTGATTTATATGTCTATAATGAATCAAAGTCAGATTAGTCTTGTTTTATCTGTGAGGACCGATCGAGAATATTTAGGACAATCACTATAGTTTGTCTAAGGATACAACTATCATATTGAATATGTGATTGTTATGATAACAAAAGAAAAATTTAATAAATAACAATGTGCATAGTACAATGATTGGCCATAAGGCACAATTTTCAACAGTTGAATGGTCTGTTTTTTTATAGTAAATGCTACCTTGTGCTCCTCAAAAAATAATTTGTGATTGAATTTGCACCTTTACCATATTGCTATAGAGTGTCACGTGTCATTGTGGGCTTGACATAACATCTATCAGTTAAAGTTAATGGTGAGCTATCGGATGTTCAATTTTTTAAAGTTCGTGATTTATTTTACATCATTTGATAGTTTAGGCTACCAAATGTTCCTCGAAAACTAATATATGGCCAAATTTGTACCTTTACCCAATATAAAATTCAAAATATAATATTATATATACATAGATATCTGAAAAATATTTATAATTTTATATGATATATTATGTTATATTATATTATGTTACTTTTAATTTTAGTTTTTTATAGTAAATTAAATTTAATAACTAACATGATATGAGAAGATATCATACTAGTTTTATAATTTAAATTTATGAGATAAATTTAAATAAGATATGATATCATAGATTTAATTTATGAGATAAATTAAATTTTATTTCGTTGGCTCTTTTTTTAATATGAATTAATTAAGAATTAATTAATAAGGTATAATTTTGAAATAATTGTGATTATTTTTGAAAATTCATAAAGAGAAGGCCAAAACTCTAATGTATACAATATAGAGAGGGATAAGCTTCTCAAGAGAGACAAACTCTTAATGGTAAAATATTTTGGGAGCTACAAACATACCCTAGAGAAAAGAAAAAAAAAAAATGAATGTCTGACAGAGGCCGCAAGATTAGATCTTCTAAGGCTTCTAAGGTTCGGGGCTTGGGGCTTGGGGTTTGGCATTTAAGGGTTTGGGGTTTAGGGGTTAGGGTTGAGGGTTAGGGGTTGAGGGTTGGGGCTTGGGGTTTAGGGCTTGGGGCTTGGGGCTTAAGTGTTAGGGTTTAGGGTTTATGGTTTAAGGGTTTAAGGTTTAGGGGTTAGGGGTTTAGGGTTTGGGGTTTGGGGTTTAGGGCTTGGGGTTTGGGGTTTCTGGTTTGGAGTTTAGGGCTTAGGGCATAGGGTTTGGGGCTTGGGGCCTGGGGTTTGGGGATTGGGGCTTGGGGCTTAGGGTTTGGGGATTGGGGCTTGGGGCTTGGGGCATGGGGTTTGCGGCTTGGGGCTTGGGGCTTGGGGTTTGGGGTTTTAGGGGTTTAGGGTTTAGGGTTTTAGGGTTTAGGGTTTGGGGTTTGGAGTTTGGGGTTTGGGGTTTGGGGTTTGGGGTTTGGGGTTTGGGGTTTGGGGTTTGGGGTTTCGGGTTTGGGGTTTCGGGTTTGGGGTTTCGGGTTTGGGGTTTAGGGTTTAGGGTTTAGGGTTTAGGGTTTAGGGTTTAGGGTTTAGGGTTTAGGGTTTTAGGGTTTAGGGTTTTTTAGGGTTTAGGTTTTTTAGGGTTTAGGGTTTTTTAGGTTTAGGGTTTAGGGTTTAGGGTTTTTTAGGGTTTAGGGTTTGGGTTTAGGGTTTTTTAGGGTTTAGGGTTTGGGGTTTGGGGTTTGGGTTTGGGGTTTGGGGTT